AAAAAGTCCTGGATAATTGGGACAGTTAGATTTCACTGGTCCCAATTGAACAAGTTTTTTATGGGGCGTTTACATAAGAAGCATCAAAAGATATAATATATACAACCTCTCACACAAATGATCTATTTCGTTGTTGGGTAACACTTTACAATAAGGTTCATTGGTTAACATTAGTTAACTACCTTAGTTAACATGAACTAAGCAATACAGCATTTATTAATCTTAATTTCAACATTTACTAATACATTATTAAAATCAAAGGTTATATTTGTAACTGTGAACTAACATAAAAAACAACGAATAGCTGTATTTGTATTAACAAACATTAACAGAGATTAATAGATACTCTAACTAATGTATTGTTCATTGTTGGTTCATGTTTTTTTAATACATTACCTTATGTTAACAAATGAACCTTATTGTAAAGTGTTACCAGTTGTTGAATGACTAGCTGACCATCATTATATCCATCCCTCATTTCCTCCATTAACATTAAGTTTAACTCATGGCAACAGTCATTGTGTTTTCAATATTTACAGAGGCATCAGAAAACTCTTAAAATCATTCCCCCTAACCTTTATGAAAAGCTGCTGCGTCAATGGAAACCCTTTCCCTGCCAGTCTTTACTAGTTCAGAGCCAAAAACATAAAACACACGCACACAGACCTTCTGTAAAGCTCACAGTTTTTCCTGAACATGCTCCTAAAGAGCTGCCTGATTATGGAAAGGTTTTTCCCCTGCGTTTCATCCCATCTCGGACAGAGGCAGGAAGCGGCTCTCGGAGGAATGACAAACACAGGGAGGAAGTGAGGGGTCAGAGAGAGAAAAGCCTGAGGCAGCAAGTCACCACGACCCACAAAAGCCTTTCAAACGTCCAACTCTGTGCTTTTGTCTAAATGTTACTGTAAAAAGACATAACTCAGTTCATTTATGAAATTATAATCTTATAAGGTCAATTAAAAAGGTTTTTACTTCAGATAATATATTACATTCTTAAAGATATTTTAGATATATGCTTATACTAATCATTCCAAACATATTGAGACTGACATGTTCTATGAACAACTTGTCTGTTAAAGGAAAATTATGGAAAATTCACTTTTACATGGTGTTTGGACATAAATGTGTGTTGGCAGTGTGTGAGCAAAACCAATTTAGAATGATAAAAATCCACCCAGTGTTTTTTTTTTTTTTTTACAATCTCAGTAAATCATATGCACTGTCTCAGAACGAGCTGTTCTGATATTCGGCGCAATGTGACGTAGAATTGCGCAAGCCCCACCGACGTGGTTTGATTGACAGTGTGGTTTTGGCATAGACTCCGCCCTCGGTGATCTGTACACCATCCTCAATTGTTTCAATGACAGCCGGTGTTCTGATGATTTGTGCTGCCTTATCGAAAATGTCTCCTAAGAAAATGTTTTGTTGTTGGATGTATTAATAATTTACATAGTAGTTTTCACTTCCGACATCAGAGCCACTGAAAACGCAGTGGATGGATTTTATTTACGAGAACTTCAAAAATATGTTTATGTTTGCGCAAATCATTTTCTGACTGACTGTTTTGTAAACGAGGTTCAATTCAAAGCAGTTCTTGCGTCAAAGTTAATCCTCAAGTGTGGATCGTTGCCTACTGTTCACGATCCAACGTCCACCTGAACACCTCCTGAAGGAGTAAGTGTATTTTATGATTTTTGAGGAAATAGTCATTTCAGTCGATGTCAGCCAATTCAAAAACAAATGCGTATAAAGTTGTTGTCGTCGTCGTAGGATGTCTATGTATATAATTTAAACCTTGTTTAGTGTGTAACCACATGTTTATAAATATATTGTATTAAAAACTGTGTATGTTCTGTAACTAGCCATCTTCGCACATTTACCACATTAGCACCTGTACAAGTAATGTAAAACATGACGCAACAGGTCCCTCGCATAAATGTAATTTCGTTTGTACATATCAAACCTTATCACAGTATTTGTGTTTGTAGTTTCAAAAAATTGTGCCAACCTTATCACTTTCAGTTTGTGTGTGTCTGAGTGTGTGTTGCGCATTCATAATTGCAAAGGGGATGTGATTACAACTCTATAAGTACATAAATGTATCAACCATTCCGAGACGTCCTGGTCCATTCTCATTTGTGTTTCTTCTGAGTCTCTTCATCATCTGGGTCTGATCAGAGACTATTTATATTCCGGTTCAAACTTGTATGGCTGAATGCCATACAAAACCGCGGGTCTCTCACTTTCTCAGCCGTTCTCCTTCTCCATTCTCCTACCGACTGTTTATTGCCATAGGTATGCAAGTGACGCCCTCATCCAAAGGCAGGGTGGGGATATGCAGCTCATTTGCATTTAAGGTGGTACACACCAAAACAACTCTTTTTAAAACAGGCCCAAAAAATGACATTTTCAAATGTTTATAATAAATTAACTGTGGGATATTTTATGCTGAAACTTCACAAGTAGATTCTGGTGACACCTGAGACCAATATTACATCTTGTAAAAAGGGGCATAATAGGTGCCCTATAATTCTGTCATCATTTACTCAAGGTTTAATTCCAAACCCTTCCATGTTTAATTTATTCAAAAGTGCTCTGTAATACTTATGCATTATAGTCCAACCAAGTTACCTGTAAGTTATCATATAAAAAGAGACCAAAATTAAAAGTAATAATTCACTGATAATCTTCCAATTTAAACTGAAGAACTGGTTAAATTTGTAAATTAATCATAAGACCGATATCTTGAACAGGATCAAATAATAATTTATTAAACATCGGATTCAAAACAACTTCTCTTATAAACTCTCCTGAACACAGAAAGGAGAGCTGGCCATAAATGTGGGCATGTTTCTCACAGCCTTACTCCCCATTTACTTTTATTATACTAAATATACAGAATATTCAAAAGTGTCAACTTTTATGGAAGAAAATAAGTCATTCAGGGCTTGCCGAGTTAATGATGACAATTTAAAAAAAAAAAATATTTCCAGTGTCAGACTTGCCAGTTGCGATACATTTCTCATAACACAAGTAAACATTAATTTAATCAGTCTCATTTAAAAATCTGCTGACACTATACCTTTAAGAACGACATTCAACGCTATTGATTTCTCATAGCCTATGTAACATACAGTGCGTGTTAGAGAATAACAGTGCACACAGTCACATGTGTACATCACACACTCCCAGCAGCACCCCTCAGGCTTCAGTGATGTAACAGGAACGAATGCTCTCTGTCGTGGTATGTGCAGTATGCCACAGATGTAAGGCTGGGGGTAAAGACAGCACAACATGAACAACACAGCCGTGAAGGCCTGCAGGCACTCAAAACATCTGCTTGTGACCTTGTTTATTTTTCATTTCTGAGCAAAGTATCTGAATGAACAGACATCCACCAGACTCTCTTTTCAATCTAAGGATGCCTTGCAATGGTGGGGCTCATTTTCCTGTGTTTGTTTCATTCTGCCGTGAAGAACAGTGACTGATGGGGAGATGTTATCACACTTACAAAAACAGTACCATGGTGGTGCTCTTGGTATTTAGCCTACATGGCATATATCCCAAACTAGGACTATCAAGGTAAATACATGTTAAATACATGTAGCACAATTTAGCATACTTTAAAAAAGGTGAACATGAAACCCTTCACACATTTTCTCACAACATTAAACTCAAACTCAAAAAACCTTTGACTCTACTGGCAAAGTAAAAAAAAAAATCACTTCAAAACCCTTTCACCTGGACCCAATATCAAACAATGATTTCAGATACACACGAGTCAATAATATAAGCACAACAGATCATTCATTTGCAGTCCAACTGCTTAAGCCAAAAAGGTCCAATAAAACTCTAAATGAAAAACATGTTACAGTACACTCAAATAGTTGTGCAACTACAAAATCAAGGTCAATGAGAGATTGATTCTGCTTCAGCATCATGTCTTCCTGCTGGCTCTGGCCTGAGGACACAGGCAATGTTGTCTCTTGCCAGGCAAGAGAAAAGCCCTCTAGTCTGACAGATCCAGCTTTGATAATACTCTTTACCCCTTGCTCTTTCTCATCCTCTTCCTCCTCGCCCATCTTCCTCTTCTTCCTTTTAGACATCTGAGTTAACATTCAGTGGACCTGTGCGCTCTGGTTAGGCTTGTTTTGTACACTTAGTATAATCACATCATTAGAAACAAGGTGTGAACAATTTTGAAAGGTTGTGTGTAAATGATGACTGTTTTTAGTTGTGTTGAACTTTTGCCTCTTGTATAAGTGTTTTGTGACACAAATGTATCACAGTGTGAAATGTGTGTGAGAAGAATAAGTTTAGAGTTTTGCAAAAAAGGAGTGCATGAGATTTGCAAATAGTGTCTAACTGCCTAAACTTGTTTAAGGTTTTTCAGAAAGAGTGATTTATTCGACAAATTGGTTTAGGCTAGTGAGAATTTAGTTTAGAGAATGGGGTGTCTTAACAATTGTGAAAAACTGTATGCAATTGGTGCTTTTTGTCCCACTTAAGAAAGAAATTGATGTAATTTTATAATTACTTCTATTGTCCTTAAAGGGCAGTCCACAGTTTTTCCTCTTTGTCGCCATCTCTGTTCAAAATCTGCAATTGTTTTCTTGTGGAATTATTACAGTAACTAACTTGTGCCATCAAATTGAAAAGTTTAATTATATCAAGTGCTGTGGGAAAAGTGTACTATAAATCTCCACCTCCAGCATCCTCAAAAGCAATATAACCTACTAGCTAAAACTCCTTCTTTATGTGTACAGAATAGATGTGACGTAATGACGCAAAGACATGCTTGAATCTCCCATGGAAATCCACCAGTACCACAGTCTGGAAATAAAAACATTAGCTTACCGCTTTGAATCGAGCTAACGCATGCAGATAGTTTTTAACACTGGCTGGTTATGTATTTTCTCAAATATGTATTTTTGATCATTTTTAACCCCCCCCAAAAAAGCTGCAGACTGGAGCTTTAAAATGGTTACTGTTGAATATACTGACAAGCATTCACGGCAATTAAAATAATTTTAGTTGAATTTTCGTTAACACTTCAATACAGGGGTGCATTTCCCGAAAGCATCGTTAGCCAACTATGGTCGCAAGTTCCGTTGTTACCAGCATAGTTCAACGAGTCGGTGTTTCCCGAAACCATCGTTCCAACGAACATTCGGAAACAGCATCGCAAAGTTGTGTGGTTTGAACGACAGCTCTCGACCTGTGGTTAGAAGCTTCGTTTCTATATTTCATGACATTTGGAGGTAATAAATCCTTATCTTGAGCAAAATAAGCAGGCTGACATTCAGTACAACCGGTGCCTTTTATTCAGCATACATACAAATGTAATTTACGTCTTTTAGTTTAAAGTACTTTTAAGATTTAAAGTACCGTGTTTGAAGAGTGCGCATGTGCGAACTCGCTCCACTATGTAAGAACGAGCCAAATATTGAGTCTGGTAATAAAAGCAAAACAACTGAGAACAATTAGAAATAGTCCTCAGATGACATGTCTGTAAATTATATAAAACAAATCTAGCGTTAATTGGATCTCAAAAGTAGTTATTACTCCACCATGCGCGAAACCAACGTGGTTGAACGATACTTTGCAACAGTGGGTTTCGGGAAACAGTCGTGACTAGCTAGTTGATTTTTCCAACGATGCATCGTACTATGGTAGTGAAGCAGTGAACTACGTCGTTGTACGGGAAACGGACCCCAGTTAAGCACAGTTCTTTTTCACAAGGGCTGCTATGTCCAAAAATGATGGTAACCCTGAGTAGTTTTTGTTATTGTCACTGTCAGCACTAATATAGGGGATTCAAAGACATCTGCAATAGAGATCAGAGTAAATCCATGCTTTATCAACCACATTATGAGTTCATGTACACACCAGCAAAAAAGCTTTTTACACACACACACACTTCTGTCAGGAACCGTCTTCATCTTAACCCTGTTGCATTGCACTCCACAGGTCTCTGTTGTGGGCGCTCTAGCAATAAAAGCCACATTGCTTTATGTCCATGCAAGTTTGATTGACTGTGTTTATGTTAATTCCAGCATCTTCCATAGGGACTTATTTTGGAAAATTTCAATCCTATTCCAGTGTGCAGAAGCGGGGATTCTGCTTTGAGCATTTATTACGGACTGTGGAGACGGACACAGAGCCATAAGCCAGCCTGTGGCCTTTCATGAGTCTATGCAGAGATCTAGGCTAATGATTTCTGCAGACTTGGAAATAGTTACCACCATGCAGATTTTTGTCAAATTCACTATTTTTAACCTCGGTATACTGCTTCTCATGAGACACATGTGCACTCAAAATACCTTAAAATAACTGATTTTGGCCTGGTTTCACAGACAGGGCTTAGATTAAGCCAGGATTAGGCCTTAGTTCAATCAGGACATTTAGTTGTTGTTTTTTTAAACGTGTCTTAAAGAGAAAAAAAAAAAAACATTAGGCTAACAACTGGTGTGCGTCTTGAGACAAATCAATGTCACTGACATATTTTAAGATGCCAGTGCAAGTTGCTTTCAATTAAAACAGCTTTACCATGCAATTTTAGTCTGAGACAGACTAACCTTGTCTGTGAAACTGGGGGTTAAACTTTTAATCTTGTTTATAACTCCTAAGAGAACAGCAATGTTTATGCAAATTAGTTCATTAATTCCCTCCTCAAAATTTAGTTATCCATTAACAAAATCGCTCCAATAAACGCTCATGTCGCAAAAATGTAAAAATACCTGCAGTAAAACATAGGGAAGACCGGGGTATGTTGTCACTTCTTTACTCCAGTCAACATTTCTCAAGGTAGGTTTATTTTTTGATAGAGTTAAGTCAATTTCGATAGACATACTTTAAGTATTTGTCAACAAAAAGGCATGCCTGCTGTTATTGCCAAGCAGGGGGAAATAAGGTTGATTGAATACATGGAGGCATGTTGTCATAATATACAGGGCAAGTTGTCATAGTGTGGAAAGGAACAGCCATTAAACAGGCTTTACAGATGCAATCAATGTTAACATTAACATAGTTAGGAAAGACAAAACAATTACTGAAAGGTATATTAAACCTATAAAGTACATCTATAAAGTAACGTTATAGCTATAGCATACGGTGAAAACTTATAAATATCTCAAATAAATTTTGAGAATGTTTAGTTTTAAGTTACATACTCATTATAATATTGTAGGCTATTTATTTACACATTTATTTAATTAATTATTTTATACACATTAAAATAGTTAATTACTTTAATCTATTTACATCTAAAATATGATTATTTTGATCTTTTTCCCTGTAAAGATTTCCAAGCACTCCACTGCGACCCACTTGGTGTCCGTGACCGCCGATTTTAAAAAAGAGTGTATCTAATAATTAAGATGTGTATTGCCCTTATTGTGACAACTTCTTCCAGCAGTAAAAATATTGATTTTCAAACCTTCAAGCGCCACCTACCAGATCCAAAGGCTTTGGCGATGAGCCACGTCAAACTGCACGATATCTTGGCCCTTGTGAAATCATAGTGATCCACAGATTTGATGGTCGGCACGATGAACGTCCTCTTGCTCTCCTTGATCTCTGCGGCATCACCCATCTTGACATCTACGCGTGGCTGCATCACGTCCCACGGGACTATGAGATCACAGCGGTGGACGACATTCCCATGCTCAAATATGATGAGAAATATAACGGGTCGGCCCAAACACTCGTGCAGTCATATAATCCTCCTCTCATATATTAGTTATATACACGAAAACAATCCCGACTGCGATTCCAAGCGTCTGCAGTAGTTCTCATCCGTTTCCCGGCATTATATCCTCAAGTTGGTGTAACGTTAGATGACAAAAATCAATATTTCATAGGTGACACATTCGCCATGATGAGGGATGTCACGTTTAATGGCGAGGAGAGGCGGTCGATGAGTTCACTGTTTTGTGTCATGATTTCTCCTCTTCTTTAACTTTTGTAACTGTCCTTAAAATCTCTTCTTCTCCCTGCGGTCCGCCTGCCGCACTGGCCTGGAAAAAAAGTCGAAAGATCGAGTGCGCATGCGCGAAACGCCCAGACGCAGACAAGCAGTGCTGGCGGAGGTAGATTCATGCAGCTGTTAAACAACGAGATTTTACACACCTCATCTGTTTTATTACTTATCTACACTATTTTCTATTTGACACATCTATCCTTTTAGTTCAGTAAAAATAATCAAACTAATAAGCAATGTTTGTAGGCTAGGCTGAATAAAAAAAATAATATCATTTTTGTTTGTTTTTTACTGTAGGCTAAAGTTGCTACACTGTAATAAAAAATTTTGTTGGTTTAACTTAAAAAATTAAGTAACCTGGTTGTCTTAAAATTTTAAGTTGATTGAAATGGAAAAAGCGAGTTGATATAATGGAGATTGATTTAATCCTCAGCAACTCAAAATAATAAGTTATATGAACAAAATAAATTATTTAAGTTGATTTGACAAAAGAAAAAAGTGTTGTGATAACAAATGTTGAATATATTTTTTTACAGTGTACAAGTGTTTGGGTTTAACTTGCTGTGAATTTTAAAAATGGAGACTTCAGATAATTTTATACTTTACTATAATAGTGAATCAATAAACCCGAATTGTGTGTGTGTGTGTGTGTGTGTGTGTGTGTGTGTGTGTGTGTGTGTGTGTGTGTGTGTGTGTGTGTGTGTGTGTGTGTGTGTGTGTGTGTAGGATTACTTTAGGATTTCCTTTGAAACAATTTTCACTCAGAAATTGCTAATAAACTTCACTAATAATTAAAAAAATGGCAAATAACATGTAAAAGGGAATTTGAAATGGTATTTTCTTGTTAAACCTTCTATTAGCCTATCTGTTTTATTTACAACGGTTGTTTTGCACAATATTCATTATATAAATGTGCAAGCCTATATTTATAAATGTTGCATCTGTTGGTGTTGACTCACATTGAGTGATATGAAAAGAAGAAATGGAAAGAGACGGCATCCAAACATGAATAACTCTAAACATGTCAATCAAATAATCAAAAATAATTTTTGATACAAAACCTTCAGTTGTTTTTCTAAATGTATATTCATATCCTTTGAGACTGATGAGGCGGAGTATTGACTGACAAACTGTGATGTTGAGGCAGATGTGAATCTTCAGCCTGAAGACTTCAGGTTGTATTAGCAGCAGCAGGAGTCATGGATCGGCTCTCTCAGACAGGAAGGGGTGTGACCACGTCTGTGGCGGCTTCTGACTATCAGCTCTGGAGAATAGCTGTAATTACTGCTACCCACACACAAACACACACACAAAAACCTTTTTCATCAAACACACACTCACACTAGTCTTGCATGTGTGAGGGAGAGAGGCTCCTAGTTCTCTAGCAAGACTGGAAGTCAATTTTAGAGGGAGGGAGGAAGGAAGGGAGAGAGGGAAAGAGAGAGAGAGAGAGAGAGAGAGAGAGATAGAGAGAGAGAGAGAGAGAGAGAGAGAGAGAGAGAGAGAGAGAGAGAGAGAGAGAATCCAGATGTTACTGAAATCTCTCCTACTAATTTTAGCAGTTGGCTTCTACTCGCTGTTAAAGCTCCTGACCTAATCCTGCACTAAGCGCAGTCTCACCCCAAAAGTCATATAACTGACGTTTTGGGACGTCTTTTGACCATACGTCAATATTCGCCTTTTTAGGGCCCCCTTAAACGTTGGTAGGGATCCTAACTCTACCCCAGACCTAAACCTAACCCTAAACCTAACCCGTCAATACACCCTTTAACTCAAGATAGCCTACATTATTACATCAACACCAGTTGATCTGCGTTGTTGTATTTCTACCACTAGATGGCAGCATTCATTTATTCTAATCATAGCCTACAAAGTCATACATTTTTTCTTTATTGTTTGACTACAAAATAAAACATAGTGAACGCCCTATATCATCCCTCCATTTGTCTATCTACCTATAGTTTATATGTGTGTGTGTGTAAGCTATACACACACACATACACTGATCATGGTGAAATAAAAACAAAACAAAGCAAAATCAACCATCTGATTATAAAACATGAAAAAGGTGAAATAATAATTGAACTGTTGAACTGAAGCTGTTTTTTCTAGATATAATGACGTAAAATCTTTTTTTCATTTATGTATTTAAATTATGGTGTTTCAAGTAAACAAAGACAGCCAGTCCCTCATAAACATTCAGGAATGTGTTATGAACATCAGAACCTTTGATTTATTCACATGACGTTCAATTCAAAGTGTGTACCATTATCATGCTAAATGCTACCAGCCTCATCCAACCCCCAAAACCACACACACATACACAGATAATGTGCTGCATATTTCATACAAAGATGCCTTCACGCAAAAGCACAACACAGGCTGTGTGTTTCCCACTGCATCCATTCACTGACCCCCACCCCGACAGACCCTACACCCACCCATACACAGATGAGCCCCATCCCTCATGAAGCAGCACACAAAAGGACAGTTCAGGCCTTCGCTGCTGTCTATGTGTGTGTGTGTGTGTGTGTGTATGCAGTGTGTGCTCTTTGCTTTTTAAGCTGCCAAACTGCTTCCAGATACGGCCCAGCTGACGTCAACGCCCTGTTATCTCAGATACTCCCTCTGTTTGCCCACAGTGTATATTTCTATAAGCCCTGTTAACATTCACAATGCAAAACTATTTCATATGAAGCATTTGAGGAAGGCTGTTTGAAGTGCACAAGTCATAACCTTAGTATCTTTTACTTATTTTGTGTCATACATTGACATATTGATATACAAACCCAATTTCACAAAATCTATCAAGAACATATGGCCAGATTTGACCCCAAAACAAAAAGTATGAAATAAGAGTTTTTCATTAATCCTGTTTTTTAAGACCCCCTAGATTTTTGCATTGTGACATTATTTTCTCAGTTTTCATTACTGTAATCATGTGAAAAATAATCATACACTACCATTTAAAAAGTTCCGTTGTGGAGTTTGGAAGATTTTTACATGTTTTTGAGAGAAGTCTCTCTTATTTATTTGATTAAAAATGCGGTAAAACTGTGACATTGTGAAATAGTATTACAATTTAAAATAACTATTTTCTTTTCAATATATTTTTTAATGTATTTTATTCCTGTGTTGGTAAAGCTGAATTTTCAGTGTCACACAATCCTTCATATCATTCTAGTATGCTGATTTGCTGCTCAAGAAACATTTCTTATTATTGTCAATGTTAATATTTTTGTGGAATTCATAAAGTTAGAAACATAAATCTTTTGTAACATTATAAATAACTTTACTGTACTTTTGATCAATTTAATGCAACCTTGTTCAATAAAAGTATTAATTAAATAAGTATATTTTACTGACCCCATATACTGTGACACTTTCCACTGAAATAACCTTGGAAAAGTGTCCTAATCAAAATGAATTCACCCCATATACACACATTGAACTGTAGTAATTTTAATGAGAATAAGAATTAAGCATTGAGCATAATGGGATTTTTTTTAATCATTCAAATGTATTGGAGTAGTGACAATTTAGAGGAAAATATGCTTAATTGTTATGAAAAATAATGTCATAATGCAGAATAAATAAATAGACTATAGGCTATTCAACATATTTTTAAATATTATTCTTATTTCTTTTTTTTGGGAGGGGGGGGGGGTCACTTTAATTTGCATTTAATAAACAGTGCTATACATTTTAATTAATATTGTAGCATTCATTAATATTATAAGATAGACATCCTATGGGAGACAAACTAGGAATTGCATTGTGTGCAGAAAGTGAAGAAGAGAACAAAAAGGAAGAGACAGAGTGAGTGGCGGATGGGATCACTCTTGTTCTTGGGCCACTGTGAGGTATTTTTAACACACACAGACCTCAAGGCTGTAGTTAGAGGGTGGGGTCACAGCGGCCGGTGCTTCTCCACTGGCAGCACAAACCTGTATTTATCTGAATAAAATCCAGAAGGTAGTCTGGACCGTATGCCCTGAGTTTATCTTCTCTTAAACGATGTGACTTTGCAGTAGTGATGCAGAAACCGCTCTGAATCTGGCTTGTGTTTTGTTATGAAACAATAAGAGATTCCACCATTACTCACACACCGTCATCTCTAAGCTCCACAATCTTTAAGCAACTTAAAAACCACTAAAACAACATTGGGCCAACATTGGACCAACCATGTCATTGGACAGCCAGTGAACCTTCTAACAAATTTACAAATAAAGCCTAACCATCTGCCAACTTCATAAATAGTAAATCTCACTTATAAATAAACAGGCTTTACCTTGCACTCAAATTTTAAGATTGTGACATGGGCTATTCATTTTTGAATTGCATCAAGAAACAAACTGAATTGGTTATAAAAATGAACCTATTTATTGGTAACAAAATTGACTTGCTTATTTCAGTATAATGCAGTTAATGGAGAACTCTGGTCAATTTTAACATTAAGCTAATTTTTTTGTACATTGGGAGTGCTGTCAGTACAGACAAAAACGACAAAAATCGGTGTTGCCTACACCGTGTTATCCTCTTTTTAAAATTCACACCCTGTTGACTTCAATGGGGCATGTTCTAAACCTGCTTTTAGCCTCTTAACATCCTTGATTTGTCATTACGAGTGCAGTGAGTGGTGTTATTAAGAGTGACCACGGTCAATCTGACTGCAGTAGATGTGAAAGATATGAATATAAATGATGTTAATTCTTGAAAGAAATGATATCTGCGAGGACTTTCAATCAGGATTTAGACCACATCATAGTACCGAGACTGCTCTCATTAGAGTCACAAATGATCTGCTCTTATCGTCCAATCGTAGATGTATCTCTATTAGTGTTACTCGATCTTAGTGCTGCATTTGACACAATTGACCACAACATTCTTTTAAATGGACTATAGAAAACTATGTTGATATTTGTGGAACTGCATTAGCATGGTTTAAATCATACTTGACCGCTATCAGTTTGTAGCAGTAAATGAAGAGATGTCTTATCAATCACAAGTTCAGTATGGCCAACCCGATCT